GCTACTAGTGAGGATTAAGTGGTATATAGATGATGGATGGATGGATGGATGGATTTTGCATATGTTCCATTTAGTTTAAATCAAAGTTTATACAAGTACTCAGACAACTAAAGGCAGTTCAGGATCTTTTCAAAAGTGCAAAAGAAGCAGTAAGTGCATTACATACAGTATGGGTGTATGATGATGATACATAATCTATAAATGTGTGCAGAGGCCGTGAGAAAATACAGAAAGAAAAAGTGACGCGCAGCAACGCATGAAATTTCTTAAAAGCATCACAGTCGCCTCATACAAATGCAATCACTGTTATGAGACGCAAACCGAAGGTGATTCAAATTCCAAATCCATCGTTTTACCTCGTCGTCTATCTCTAATATAATCTCCCGCATACACTCGCTGGTGTAAGCCAATCAGATGTGTCCGCTGTAATACAAGCACTCAGTGTGAATGTCAACCCCATGAAGTAGCTGTCAGAACAATGTGTCTGTGAATCACAAGCAAGCTGGAGAAGAATCCTAATGGATCAGTGTGTCGGAGACTTTGGGCCGCCGCTCATTTCACACGCGTCATGATTGCGAGGCCAATCAATTCTTTCATTTGGGTCACTTTATGATTCAATCAGCCCGGGTCCACATCAGTTCTAGTCTCCGCACACCTAATCATCTGTGTGAGAGGGATGATGATGGAGACAGTGATGGGTGAGGCGCTGCAGCTGCTTCGACTCAAAACTCAGTGTCTTCAAACAGACTCCCATTAAAGGTCTTTCTCCACAAAACCGTCTGGGGCTCTTTGGTTCTTGAACTTCAAAGAGGCGGCATCAAGGAGCGTCTCTATGAAGTATGACAGTATCGCGGGAGGTGAAAGCTCTGAAAACAATGTGTGGTACTGAAAGCCTCCAAAAATAGGTGCATTGCATGAGTTGGCTTTTCTTTTCCTTAAAATGAGACAGAAATACTTTTTTTTTATTTATACTTCTGAAGTTCTTGGACCAAAGTAGACCAGATATGGGAAAGCGCTTATATTAGGACGGTTATCTAACTAATGTACTTTACATCATTACGTACAGACGCCGCTGTACTACAGATCTTGCTTGAGTCATGGATGACCGGAATAGCCCCAGACAGCATCCACTCTTGTCTATGTAGCCTCATATTGTGTGGGCACTGCGGTGTATGTAAGTGGGTGTGTTGTAAATGTGTCTCTAGCCTGCACGAAACCAAAAGCACCTACTGAAGCTGCAGCGGTGCCAAACTACTACTGAACAATTGTGACATCAAGAGGTAGAAGTCAAGACGGACGAAGCTGAAGCTGTGTTGAATCAATGATACGTAAGATTTATGTTAAAAGCCACGAAAATCTATTTACCTGAAAGCAATATAATAGAGTTATAGCACAAAACTTCCTGCTGTTGGTCTTTTCGTTTCTTCACACAATGTGTTTGTTGCATTGTTGGCAGTCACATATTTGAGGGATTCTTTGCTCCTTCAGTTCTGACATATTCTATTCATTGCCATCCATAAAGTTGAAAAGCAACTTTTTTGAAAAAAATAGCTGACTCTTTGCTCAACCACCAGACAAACTAGCGTTCTTTTGGAGCCATGTTTTTGTCTACCTGATGGAAAATCCAATACTCATCCCTTTTTAGGTGTTCCTTCTTAAAAGCACCTGCCTGGAGGGGCCAAAAAGGACACTCTGAAAGCAGTAAAAGTGA